GATTCTATTAACGAACCTATAATTTAGAGACAAGTATTTGCATTTCTATAATTTTATAAATCTTCGAAGTCAATGATAAGAACAAAAGGAAACATTAAGAATCAAGTAAAAGGGCATTGATAAATTAAAGATCTTTATTTTCATATTATCACCAACATCATTAAGTGTTTAGATTCTCAAATGCAAACTAAACGTTATTTAGCAACTTCACATAATAAGCCAAAATTTACGTATGCGGAGGGGTGGGATAGGATTATGCATAATTGTCACTTCAAACTTTTGTGGAGTATATATAGGTGAGAATATTGGAAGTGTCTAGTTAATCCTTATCATGCATGGCATCCATATATTTTAAGTCGTTTTTTTTGTTAATATAAGTTTGTTTACTAAATTAATAATGTTAAATAATGGCTAGCTTGCATGCGTGTATAAGTGTGTACACACTATATTGTTTGCGTATATAGACCATTTAAAGAGTGTGAGAGAAAAGGAGAGAACCGATGAGTTTGATATAAGAGGGTTTGGTTTGTTTGTTTTTTTTTTTTTTAAATTTTTTTTTAAAAAGTTGAGCTAGTTTGTAGTCCACCATTACTATGCTTTAGGTTTGCCTTTTGCGTTGTAAGTTCATTGGTTGCCTTTCAATTATAGATTAGTCATTTTCAAGTTATAACTATATATTGACTTAGGTGGAGAAATTTGAAACTTAAACATCGAAAAAATGAAGCCAACTTTTAAATAATAATGAACCTAATCTTAAAAGTAACGAATGAACTTATCTACCTTTCTCAATCGTGAGAAGTGTATTCAAATGTAAAAGCATTCAGCATATACAATTATATATATGGAAAAAAAATAAAAATAATATATATATATGTATATATATATACACTCATATCATGCATATTTATTATATCATCATATACAGCATTTGGCATCGACATCTACAATAATAAAGTATCTTAGATTAATCGAATTTGAATGTAAGTCATGTAATGTGGTAAGAGTGTAAGACCGTAAGAAGGGGATATAAATTCCCAACCAATATAACATTTCTTGATAACATGAGTAATATGTTTTACTTGTAAAATTTTTCATACTTCAAATGTTTTTTTTAATAGGATATTTTATTGGTCAAAATCCCTCTCCCAGTTCAACTAGAGGTCCTAGGATTAAATCTCACCCATGACATATTGAGATACCCTTCTTTTTCCCTAACTTGTTAAGGTCTAATAAGTTCAGATTAATGAAAATCAGATAAATAGAACGCACCCTAAAATCTATTTATACTAATAAATACAAATAAGTCAAAGATAACCAAGCTTTTTGCTTTATATTAGAGGTTGAATAAGTTTCACAAGAATTACGGAAAATATAGGAACATACAAGTATAAAATCTTAGTTTGAAAATGCATAAAGAATTAAAGATAGTTTCTTAAGAAGCTTTAGCATAAATTCACTAGTCACCTCAAACAAATTTTGGGGTATATCATTATAGGCCAACCAGGACCAAATATAAGTCATGGTAGGGATATATGCCAATGGCAATTTGTATCTTCATCCGTATATATATACTTCATTCGTTTTTTAATTTTTTTTTCTGATCTATTCTTTAAATTAAAGATCATTCCATTTGCATAAAATACGATCTTCAATGTATTACTTTGATTATTAATATATTTGTTGACACGTATTAGTAAAAATTGTGAAAAATTGATACAATATCATAAAAACACAAATTGAAATTTTTTTTTAAAAAAAAATAGAAGATGCAAAAGCTACATTTTTCTTTAAATGGAAAGGTAAACAAGAATTTAGGATAGTTTTCTCTCAAAGATTATACCCTAACTTATCAGAAAAAATAAAAAAAAGAAAATTTACTGTCTATGAACGGATCGATATCTTGGTGAGCTTGCATAAAATGGCCCAAAGAAGCAACAAAGTGTGCTGCTCTATTACCCTCTCTATAAATGTGGCACGAATCAACATAAGTGAAATTTCGAATCAGCTTCTTGACGTCTTTCATCAGTAGCTGTATTTTCCACGGGCACTGAGCCTTCCCCTGCAAAATATTAATAATAAGAAAATTATCCCCTTCAATAAATACTTTTGAAATATTATGGGCCTGCGCCAAAAGAAGACCATTACGAAGGGCCGTAGCTTCTGCAATAAGAGGAGTACTCATACCAATATTAAAAGAACGACTACAAACATTATTTCCTAAATGATCTCTTAGAACAATGCCTACAACCCCTGAACCTTCCCGAACATAACCATCAAAATTTATTTTAATAACACTAGGGGGGGCGACCAAGAGACACGTATACTCCTTGGGGTAGGATGAGAAGGAAGAGCGAGAGCAGGAGTATCCAAAGAGTCGAGACAAGAACGGAAATGCCATTCATGATAAATTTTTTGGGCACGAGAAAAAATGGCCATATGAGAAAAGGGAATTTTCTACATGTGACATGATAGGCAATTGCTTGTGCACAACCTTATTTCAATTCAAATAAAAAAAATTGCAAGAATTTTCAAAAAGGTACGGTGAGAGTATTAGTTAACAGAATATAAAATAAGAATTTTCCCAATTAGGTAAATATTTGGATCATAATATAGTTTAATTCAAGTGATGGAATTAGCATATATACTAAAGAAAACAAGCAAAAATTAATAAACAAATTAATGGAATCAGAATCATACGGGTGGCAACTAAGCTATACTAATGTAAGATTAATTAAAAACGTCTAATTGTTAGATTTGTAAATTGTGACATTAGTAGAGGTAGGCAGAATGCTTCGATCTTCTATATATAGTAATCCACTCTTCTTAATGTTCTCATTTACTAGCTAGTCTAAGCAGGAAAAAGTAAAAGATTGAATTTATTTTATATGATAGAATTTATTTTATATGATAGAATTTATTTTATATGTTCTCACTCACCACTAAGTGATTAATTCCATTTAGTTACATATTCTTCTTTTAATTATAGGTATTTAATTGATTAATGGTGGAATTACTTTATACTCCAAATTTATATTTATCAAGGTGGAGTATGCTTCTCTAATGATTGCTTAGCTTAGTTGTAACACTTCATAACTATAGCTATTTTTGTTTCAAGTTTAGCCTCTTCTGCTAAAGATCTTAGGGCCTTTAGTAGCTTCCGAATGTGAATCAACTTCTAATCAAATTCTTCCTGTCTAGAGACATATACTACTTTCATTCCTAAATATTCGCAACACCAAGTACCTTTTTACATCAAATTGGGCATGTTTGATAATTAGCTGATTAATATAACTAATTGTATCAACTGATTTGACTAGCTAGTTGTATTAAATATTTTGATTAATAAAACATTTAAGTAATCTATTTTACCAAAGATAGCTTATTACAAGAATTGCTTATTGGTTGAACAACTCTTTAAACCAACTTATTGAACTCCAATAAGTTGCTCAAATCAACTATTTTTTCAATACCTAATAGCTAATTTGAGGCCATTGCACCCAAAAAGCTTAAATTTATATCAATCATCTCTTTACAAAACAAGGCTTAAAAGGTTTGGTTACTTTAATGGTGGATCCAATATGCAACATGGTACTCAAACCGTTCAAAGTAATTGGAATAATCCGACACATTTTTACATTAAAAATTATCCAAGAGGGTCACCAATTGAAATCATCTAGAACTGGCTAAATTATATTTTATCCCTTTACTTATGTAATCGAACTAATTACTAGAAGTAGCGACGATTTTTGTTGTTGTTATGTTTTGTTCATTTACATTAGCTTTGTGGCTTGAGACAAGGCTTCATGCTCTAAGCACGATTTTGATCTAAAAAAAAAAAATCAAAACCCAAGCTTGCATTATTTAGTTCATGAAAATCCTAAACCATCAAATCATTCACAAATATTACCTATACGATTGAAGTCAACATCACCAATATTGTGCATATTGACTTCGATGAGAATAGATTCAGGATCATTCAATTGATCTTAATAATTTTATTGATTCAGGATTATTAGTATTGATTCAATATCATCCAAGTGATCTTGACCTTTTTATTGATCAAGGTTCATTTGTTTGATCTTTCACATTTTTATTTATTCGATCATATAATTCGTGGTAAAAATGTTACGATTGCAGGAATATATTACGAAGTATTGATACATTAGGAATCATCATATGTCGTATAGGAAAGATTTATATTATTTTATAGAAGTTGCAAGTGTTTAGGAATATGTTTCCAATATATCTTGATGATATTCTCATGTATATTTGTATGATCAATAATATTTGTATGATTGTACTATATCAATAATGTCACCAGACACTGTTCTTGTACTATAAGAAGTGGTTTCTAAGTAGATCTTCAAAATGTTATTAACAATTATTAGATCTCAAAGATAACAGTCTCATTGTTATCAGTGTTAAGTTGAAAACATTCAAATCCAATCCCAATTAGAAGCTAAATGCACCATTCAATTGGAAGCTTAATTGCATCAATCAAGATGCTGGTTTGGTACTACCACTTCTCAATATATTTTATTATCTAAAGAGAAAATAATAAGGTAGTAAGGAATGGATTTTATATATAGTTAGTCCCATATGAAATACATAAGACACTAGCTCGATCTAAGCGTGCGATCTATTCACTGAAACTTATTAAATATTAATTGACTTGATATATCCTAATTTCACCTTTTGACACTTGAATTGACTTGATCAGTCTGAAATTTATTATTTTTAACGAAAGGCAAAAGCACCTAATAAACTTATACTTGAAAATATTGTGGAAGTACGTATTTAATCGTAATACTTATATTTTTGCACATCATCTTATGTCCATTTCTTTTCTTTCTTTTCTTTTTAAAGGCAAATTAAATGTAACCAAGCCAATTAACCTACTCCCTATATTTCACTATGAATATGAGTGGTTAACAAAATACTTACACAAATAATTACCCCTAAAGACCCTAGAGAAAGATGCTGGTGCATGGAAGATACCATAAGACACCAAGATTTTGAAACAATAATAATAAGGTACACTTTAAATTGCCAATTTTTCAAACCTATGTACACTAAAATCCCTGGCCCCACCACCTCCTCTTTCACAATTTTTTTCCTTATTCTTTTTTAAAATGATTAAATTATAGCTTCCCCTTACCAGTATATATATAATGAGATCATCTCCCCCACCAATACCATCAAGACACCCCTTCAAGAGACCTTACATATAATTGTCTCTTCCAAAATTAAACCCCATAATAATATTTCTTCTCTCTCTTTTTTCTCTAGAAAATGGCAAAGTCAGATCCCCTCATCATTGGAAGAGTAGTTGGGGATGTCATAGACCATTTCAACCCAAGTGTGAGAATGTGTGTCACTTACAATAACAAGCAAGTTTACAATGGTCATGAACTCTTCCCTTCTTCTGTCACCCTTAAGCCTAGGATTCAAGTTCTTGATGGTGACTTGAAATCATTTTTTACCTTGGTACATTTATAATTTCTATATCTATACATACTGCTTTTTTACTTCAATTCGACCGACCCCTCCCCCTCACTTCCAGTTTAGAAGAGAAGATAACCTTAAAAAACGACAAAAAAAAAAAAAAAAAAAAAAAACCTTAAAAGTTGCTTCGTATAACTTAATAATGATAGAAGAGTTATATTACCGAGTACATATAAGTCTAACATCAAATAATAAATATAAATTATTATAATATAATTCATAAGAAATAGTTTGAGTGATAGTTACTTTAAAAGTTTTCTTCTTTGTTCTAATATTTACTATAGTAAAGTTTTTACATTTGATCTTATTGCATGATAGCATGTATACACATACATATTTCCTCTCCAACTGGGTCTTATGTTCTCTTTTCTTTTATATGTGATAGATCATGACAGATCCAGATGTTCCAGGACCCAGTGATCCTTACCTCAAAGAGCACCTTCACTGGTATACTCTTAATTCAAAATCCAAACTAAAGTCTATTATATATTTATATGTTTATGTTTATGTTAAATGTAATATTTAGAGTTATCTTTTATCAATTAGAAACTTAATGACTTACTCATATTAATATGCCTATGTTACAGGATAGTCACAGATATTCCAGGCACAACAGATGCTACTTTTGGTAAGCAAGCTCACAACTTATATCATAATTAAGAGGACTTTGACCACTACTTAAAGATGAATTAATCAAGTAAACTAATGATTTCATGGTATATACTTACTCCATTATATCATATGTGATAGGGAAAGAGATAGTGACCTATGAGTTACCGAGGCCGAACATAGGCATCCACAGGTTTGCGTTCATCTTGTTCAGGCAGAACCGTAGGGGTACTGTCGACCCACCGTGCAGTCGAGATCGATTCTGCACCAAAAAATTTGCTGAAGACAACCAACTTGGCCTTCCTGTTGCTGCTGTCTACTTCAATTGCCAAAGGGAAACCGCTGCTCGAAGGCGCTAGCTGAATAGTCTTCTTTGGACATGAAGCCAATGTGTTATTCTAATGTACCAATTATGCAGTAATTTGGTTTAAAATAAGATTGCTCTTTACTTGGTTAGGGGGAGGAGTGTAATGTTTGTGATATGATATATGAGTGACCTAGCTAGCTAGAAGAATACAGGAAGTGGTTTGTGTTAGTTATTAGCTTCTGGTTGCATGTTAGTTAATGTAGCTTTGTTTTATGCCTGTGCTTGATATCTACTATGTGTACTAATTTCATATCTTATGATCTTTCCATATTAGTACGAAGTATATACTCATCAGTACTTGTGATGTCGATCTTGGAGCAAAATTATAAAATTAGATCTATTCGTCATTAGATCAATTCATCAGATGCATCCAATTGGTCGCTTGATTATAAAATTGATATCATTTTTTACTTTAAATAACAACAAAAACCAAAAAAAAAAAAAAAAAAAACTCATACCACATTTTTTAGCAAATAGCAAAGCTTATCTAACCTACTTTAATTTAATAATTCTAAAAAGTATAAACTTAATACCGAGTACCATTTAAATTCAAGTTTCTAATAAAAACTCTCTCAAAAACTTTACCACCAGATTAATCAGCTCCATGTTACATTTATTTGCGACATATCCTACATCGTATATTATATAAACTTCCCTACAAATCACTTGCCTAGGAGAAAAGATTAAAGCGCACATGTTATGTTTTTGCACAATGTAACTGACTAAGACAAAAATAATTTTAAGAGAGCTGAGCGCAATTGTTTTATCAGAGAATGGAAAAAATTAGGGCGACCAAAAAGTCTTTATCCATAAAATATCCAAGATATGACTGACTATATGACTATATGTCTATATGAGACGATGTTTGACCTTCTATTTTTGCTATTTTTGGTGTAAAAAGGAAACCAAAACAGTAACTGTTTCAAAAAAATAAAAATCTTTTATTAATTCTCTTACAATCTTAATTCCCCCAAAGCTACTGTATAACTTGGACCCACACTCATACCACAGCAAGGCTACGTCAGGTAGACAATACACTAGCAACTAGCAAGGCCCCTCATTTGATTACTTCCTTAATCCTCCTAGCTTGCACTTTTCTCTATAATTTTGCTGCCCTATTATATTCTCTTTCATTTCTACTTTTTTTTTTTTTTTTTTTTGGGTAAATCTTTCATTTCTACTTTTATTTACCCTTTTACTCCTTTTATTTTATCGGATTATACTAAACTAGTAAGCTACCATTAAGTCATTAACTAGGACAACAAGTATGGCCTTCATTATCAAAGAGGGTCTCAGGGTTTAAGTAGGTCTAAAAGCATATGCAGTAGTACCTTCATTCTAATTATTAGAGATAGCTTTTTTAATTATTTCAATCTACCGGCAGTCCGGCAACATAATAAAGGTAAGCGAAAGTAAGAATGTATTCTATTCAACTTATATGATTTCTGTCTAACAAATTAAAATACGTTCAAATAAGACAAATTCAAGCAAAATAAGTTATAATAAGGTCAAAAATGCAATGTTGAATTGTCAATAAAGATATGTGTTCTATTCCATGAATTTTGCACATACACTAGTTCAGAAATGAAAGCCAAATAATAAGCATTGCATAATACAATTATGCATAAGAAAAACCTTAATAACTCAAATAATCCTAAACTAAAAGCAAAAGAAAATGAGCAATAAGCCAATACATGACCCATATCATGTAACTTTGCACAATGATTAGTACCTATTTATCATACATGAATACATGATGCTTTAACATGGAAAAAAAATGATAAAGTGTAAATTCTAATAAGAGAGAGCATATTTTTAACAAAGTAGATTCACTTTAAAACTTTTCTAAAATTGTAGAATATGACATATTTTTAATACAAGGCAGCATATTTATTTATTGCCCCCAAAATAATTTTCCTCGGCTTAAGCTTATGTAAAAATAAATAAAATTCCTAGCTCTATTAATGACATGAGTAATAAATCTCATGTAACACTAAATCATTCAAATTTGCCAAAAAAAAATAAATTGTCATCTCAATTAAGAAATTAGTTTCTACTCATAGATGGTTCCTGAATTTTCAAGATCCTTCATTCTTATAAAATGAATTAAAACATTTGAAATAAAAGCAACAAATTGACAGAATCCACATACATACCTGATAGGACAAAGTACATACAAGAGAAGTAGTACAACTAAAACAGAGTATTGACATAAATGGGGATCATCTTATAGTGAAAAGATGAATGTGCTCCACATTGGGGCTGCACTGCTGCAGTCAGGCATGAACCAATGATGTTCTCAAGAAATTTACAAAAGCAACATATTTCAGAATTAAATGATACTCATCTTTTTACATTTATCTATTACTCTTTTTCTTGCACATATACATATATATATATATATTTTACTACTCCGTATTTCCTCGTAAATAAACCAACAATTTTATCCAATCACCATCAATTGTGGAACCCACAATAATTAAAGAGTTGTTAATTTATTTACGAAAATGTCTTGTGAGAAACAGTTTTGTTTATCACTATGAAAAACTGTATTTACCGTATCCTTTTAACCTCACATTTCACCTTTACATGCTCTCTCTCTCTCTTACATTCACATTTTCCATAATAAGTGGATAAAATAGAAAGGTACAGAATATAAAAGGATTACTAAGATCGTACTAACCCTCTTTTCATATTGTAAAACTCTCTCGTCTAGATTTAAAACACCCCCCTTCCCCCTTCAATAAAGGTTTATTTGCATCTCTAGATGAGCAAATGAGCCAAAGATAGCTTTGGGTGGTTAATTGGGTGTTCCTAGACTAGGGTGAAAATTGAATAATTATTTTAAATTCATAATACAAGGTTTGAGAATTATACTAATATTGGTATAAATTGATAAATAATAACTTTTGACATTGGGTCAAATCTCAAAGATTGATTAAGACTTACTTCCTGGGCTCTCTTATACTCCCTCCGTGTTTAAATAAATGAAACATTTTCCTTGTACATGTAGCCAATGTAATACTTTAATCGTTAATATCTTTAATTATTAGAGTTCCCTAAATCCTAACTGTTTAATTAACTATCAATAATTAAAAATTATAACAATTGAATATTAATAAAAAAAGGGGGAAAGGTTTGGCACAAAGCTGCTCGCTTTCTCGCTTCCGAGAGACCTTTCAGAACTTCAAGGGCTAAGGTTTTATGTGAAGTTCACATGTCCATTCATAATCCAAAAAATAAATTAGCATAAAGGTAACATACTAAACGAAAGAAGATTATGACAAAGGCAAAAAGGGACAATACAGAGGGAAGGAAACCAGGAGGAAAAAAGTAATAGAAGGTACAATTACAAGTTGAAAGCAGCTTAAGTATCCCCCAGAGATTTAGTGGGGAATAGTACCTGGAAATCACTAACCATACATTCGAAAAATTAAGTACTCCTTAATAATTGGCATTTCTAAAGAGGCGTCCCATAATTTGATAAGGACAATATTGACATTGTTATCCAAAACAAGCCAATTAGAGTTCCCTAAATCCTAATTGTTGCGCAATTCCTAGGCAACATTTAAATAATCATACCCCAAAACAACATTAACAACAACATTCGTTCAAAAGTGCTTGTTTTTTTCGACCTAAAATGCAAAAGGAAAAACCACTCAAAATGATTTAATTCACTTTTTACTAGATTAGGCGTTGCCAATTTGGTAACTTTAGGAATGAATTGGAGAGGAACTAATGAAATATAAGTAGGGGTGTCAATTTGGGTTTAGGTTGTATTTATCAGTTTCGGGTTATAACGGGTCGGTTTATAACGGGTTGAAATTATTAGCGGGAAGGTTTGGGTCGAATTTGAAACTCATCGGGTCAGTTCGGTTCGGTTTTTTTATTACGGTTTCTATTCGGGTCGGATTGTAGTTGGTTCGGGTCATAATCAGTTTGGGTTGAACCGGGTCAGTTTGAAAATGGGTTTAGCCAGTTTAAAGTGGGTTTCGGTTCAAAACAGTTCGGGTTCTAATCAGGTCGGGTTGTAATCGGTTCGAGTCATAATCAGTTTGGGTTAAATCGGGTCGGTTTGAAAATGGGTTTCGGTTCAAAACAGATCGGGTGAAATCGGGGGTCCGGTCATTATCGGTTCAGGTCATAATCGGTTTGGATTGAACTTGGTCGGTTTGAAAACGGGTTTACCCAATTTGAAGCGAGTTTCAGTCCAAATCATACTGGGTTAAAATCGAGTCGGATCATTATCGAGTCGAGTTAGTCAGATAATGGGTAAGAACGGGTCATGTTATAATCAAATTAAGTCATAAATAAGTTGGATTTATCGAGTTGTGGGTCGAAACGAATCAGATCATAAACATATTGGGTTACGGGTGGTAAACGACTTAGACATAACGTGTTACCGGTCGTAAAAGGTTCGGTCTCAACGGGTTACAGGTCGTAAACAATTCGGTCTCAACGAGTTATTACGGGTTGGAAACAATTCGGTCATAACGGGTTACGAGTTATAAATGGTTCGGTTTCAACGGGTTACAGGTCGTAAACAATTCGATCTCAACGAGTTATTACGGGTTGGAAACAATTCGGTCATAACGGGTTACGAGTTATAAATGGTTCGGTCACAACGAATTACGGGTTGGACCGGTTCAGGTTTATCGGGTTTTTGCCGGGTTTAATCGGTTTTTGGCTTAAAATGGGCCAGGTTACTATCGGGTTAAGATGTAATTAGTTCGGGTTGTTTTCAGATTCGGGTTGTAACGGTTGGGCTTGTTAACGGGTCGAGTTAGTAACGGTTCTCACAAATTCGGTTCAGTTCAGTTTCGGGTTAGAAAAAATTTGGTCGGGTTGGTTTTTGGTTTTCAAAAAACAGGTTTTTAACGGTTTAGTTCCTTTTCAGATCGGTTCGAAACAGTCGGGTTTAACGGTTCGGATCAGAAACTGACAGCTCTAACTATAAGTTGAAGTATTTTTTTATCAATTAAATTGGGTAAATACTACCGTACTCCATACATACATTCTATGTTTTTATTTACTTGTAACACAGCCTTGTGACACGTATTTTGAGGTCGAAATTAACAAGGTAAACGAACAAATTATCAAAACAATTTAAAACATATGGTACCTAATCCTACCCTATTCCCGGTGTAATATTATTTTGACAAAATCATTCATCTTTACTAATCATAATGGTTCGAGTACCCGATTTGATAATTTGTTATCGGGTACGGTTATTGGGTATCATTTTAAAATTAACGGTTATCCGATCCGATCCGATAAGAATTTTTTTTTTCCTACGTAAATCTATTTATCCAAAATCTAAACTCTTACTTTACTTCATAATCACTTCATAATTTAAATGATTAGTAATTATTAGTAATTTGGTCATGATCATGTGATATTATTGTTGATTAGTGTTGAATGATATATCATAATAACTATATTATAAAGTCTAAATTTTTATTATTGGATATCATATTGAGTACCCGATAACCAATCTGAAAATCCGGGTACCCGAACTTATTAGTTCGGATAATGGATATCATTTTTAGTGTTATTGGTTATCGAGTACCCAAACCGATAGTATTGACGGTACCAGTGGCGGACTGGGCCTTGTGCCTGGTGGGTCAAATGACTCACCAGGGCCCAAAAAAAAATTTTAAGTTTTTTTTTTAAAAAAAAAAATAAAAAAAAAAATCTAACTTCAGGTCCCGACACTTCCTCAAGCCCTAGCCCACTGCCTCCTCAGCTGCTCTTCCTCTTCTCCTCTTGACTTCCTCTTCGCTTCATCTTCACCAGACTGCCTCCACCCAGCCACCCTCCAGTCGCCTGCTCTGCCTCTGCTGCTTGCCTGCTTGATGCTTTTCCTGCTCCGTCTCCGTGGTCACTGCTCTTCGCCTCTTCGCAATCGCTTCGACGCAATTGCTAATTCACTAGTAAGTTGATTTCTAATTTTTATTTTTAATTTCTTATCTTCAATTTAATTCAGTTCTAATTAGTTAATTTTATTAAACTTTGGTTTAAACTTTGGTTGATTTGTAGTTAACGCTTTCCTCTTCGCTCATCGGCTCACGCCTCGTCGCCTCCAGTGCTGGCCCTGCTGCCCGCCTACTCGCCTCATCAGCGTCTGCCGTCTGGCAAGGTTAATCATCAATTTATTCTTTTTTTTGTGTGAATTTCTGATCAAATTTGCATTACTTGTTGCTTAAAATTAGTATATACGATGAATGTTCATTGGAATTTGCATTATTTGTGTTTTGACTGTTAAATTGAACTTATTATTTTATGTGATGCCGGACATTGTATAAGACAGCTATTAGTGTAAGGAGGATTATAAATTTATAATTAGATTACAGTGTGGACTGGTTAGTGGTGCTAGTCGCATATTCGGCTGGAAGTTCCGTTATAGACTAGGCGGATTCAGGAATTGTAAAACATTGTGCCTGAATTGTGGTTACATAAACCTTAAATCATTCTTAAGTTTTTTCTTGTGATTGTTGCTGTAAATTGTTTAAACTGTTATTACACGGAGAACAGTAGTTAGGGTGTTTATTAGCTTGTTAGTTATTAGTTTGTTAATTTTAGTCTTGTAATTTCAGAATGAAGAAAAACGCATTCCAAATGAAATGCAAAACATTACTAGCTTTTTTGCTAAAAAGAATCCTACTCCAACTTCTCTTCCACATCCAACACAAAATGAACAAACTATATCTCAACCTCAAAGAAAGTGAACAACATTCATC